AAAAATACCAAAATATCCAGTACTGCCTCTCATCCCCAAAGAGAGGAGACTAAGCTTTATTTCTAAGTGTCAAATAAACCTATTGCCACACTTTCTTTGAATTCAACTTCCAGAAAGTTGATTCTGGTCTTTATAGTTACACACAGGACACTCTGTAATGCCTTCTTTTTCTCTGAGAAGGCAAAAGATCAGTAAAGGTTTTCTCCCTCTGGCAAGCACATTTTTAAATAGTTCAGCAATTACTTAATGTACCAAGACCAGCAGCAATGATGCAATACAGTGCTACTGAGCCCAGGGAATGGAGGCCCTATAAAATGTATGACATTAATTTATAAGCTCTGAAGATAAGTCAGTCAATCACCTACCAAATACAAACCTTTAGGAAATTGGAAAATATTTTTTGTGTAATACAACTTTGGGCCTGCAAATATGCCGAATAAGTTTAAATGAAAAGAAATCACGTGTGTTAGTCACTAATTGGAAGGAACAGTTCTAAGGAAAATTCGAGAACTGCAGGCATAATTTAGGGTGATCATTAATATTTTTCTCAAGACTTGATCAATAAAGACACACTGGGATACAGGAGCATATCTCCTGTCTTTTAGGCAAAAAGTACGAAAGGTTTCTTTACAAACAATGATCTTTAGAGATTCTTTTGGGTTTATTATCATTTGAGCAAAGCAAGCAGTGGTGTTCTGTCTAGTTTATGGTTTATAAGAAGCGGTTAAGGCAGATAACAATTGTGTAATCTTACAGTGCCCTAACTAAATATTTATGTGAAGCTGAAGTTTTATTAAATTATTTACAACAGGGCTATTAAACAAGAAAAGAAATTTTAGGCACTTTGAGCAACAGCAAAACCTAGAGTCTTGAGGTAAGCTCCAAAGCAAGTGTGTTTAGAGGGAACACAGAGACCAAAATGTCTCATTATAGGATCCAAAAAGCTGCGAGTACTCTGAACAGGAAGTGGCCTGAACAAATATAAAAGAAATATAAGGGGCAAACTGTGTCTGAAAACACCCTCCTGCTGTATTTTTTCTGCTCTTATGGCTGTCTTCATAAGCTGGTAAGGTTTGATTCAAACTTAGAAAAAGTAATTACCTATATTTTTACTCTCATCAAGTGTATTATTGTTCATGACATAATGCGTAATTTATTGACCAGAGCTGTCCAGGAATCATCAGTGATGTAATTTTTCAGTGGGAAATGTGCCAGAGCAGAAAATTATAGAAAATGGGATGTTTTTTCTGAAACTTTCATATTCATAGTAGAATTTCTAGTCAAAATAAGAAAAGACAGTAGAAGGAGAAACAGGCGCCCCTTGAAAGCGAGTAAAAGTTTTTTTCCTGTTTATGTCAGTTACTGACTAAAGAAAAACAAGGACTTGAATTTGGACTTTCTCCATTCCCTGGTAAATACCAAGGATGAAATAGAGATTTAATTCATTCTTTATCTCTGACTGTGAGCAGAAGTGCATGTCTACAGAAGAGTTAAAAGCATAAGGAAGTCTATAGCAGCACTTCTCGCAAATGCGCTCCTACAAACATGAGTTTGTGGCTCTCAACTTGAAAGATTTTATTTTCTTATACAGATTAAGATTCCTTTGAAAACCTGAAAAGTATCATTGACTAAGGAAGATGTTTCTCACCCAGGAATAAATATGCTACAGACTTCACAAGGCAAATAAGACCCGTTTCTGCCTGGAGAAGCATAGAAGTCTAATTTTAGTCATGACAGAAAAAGTGAGCACAACAAATAGCGGGGGAGGGTGGGAGCTGAAGAGGATAGCACTAAGAAGATTACATGGTTACTTAGGTTCATTTCATGCATATCTTGATAGTATCACTGTTTCATTTGTATATAACATTTCTAAAGCTTCTGTAAATATTCCAGAAGTAGCTGGAGAGGCAGCAGAAAGAAAAAAGGGAGAAATACGTATAAGATTTAGCAGAAGTGAGAGAGGTGATGAAGAGAATAAATTCTGTATATAAAATAATGGTCTGTATTTGTGTACAGGCTCTTTTGTTTTTCTGTGTGACCTTGAAGGCATCAAAAGACATTCAGACGATGACTAGTCTCATATCATCTATATGGAGGTTCTTACATTTTAAACTTTCTCTTTAGCTGGGTATCTAAACTAGCTCTGCTGAATAGTTCTAAAGGAACTACATTAGTAAGCATTTAAACCTTGTTGTAGTTCGTGGATGGAGCATGGGAAGGTCCTTTGCGCCGTGTGAAGGCAGGTGCTGGAACTCTTGACCAGAACTTGGATCTCTCCTCCCAAGAGAGGACTCTTACTAGAGGAAGTAAGCCAGTTCTATGTTTTGGGGGGTTAACCTTGGTTAAGGGCTAAAAGCCCACCCAAACACTCACTTCCTCCTCTCTGCAGCAGGACAAGGGGAGAAAATAGGATGAGGAAGTTCATGGGTTGAGATAAAGGCAGGGAGATTGCTTACCATTTACTATCATAAGCTAAAATAGATTCAGAAAGTGAGAAACAAAGACAATCACTGAGACACCTTTCCTTCTCTCTTTCCCAAGCTCAACTTCATTCCTTCACTCCAGACTCCTCTGTCCATGCCTAAGCAGGAAGGGAGCATGAGGGGCAGTTTGTGGTCAGTACATAGCAGTTTGTCTCTCGCTCCTTCCCCCTCACACTTTTCCTCTGCTCCAGCATGGGCTTTGTCATGGGCTGCAGTCATTTGGGGAAAAAAAAAGTCTGCTCCACTGTGGTTCTTTCCACAGCCTTCAGGGGAATCTCTGTTCTGGTGCCTCGAGCACCTCCTCTCCTCCTGCTTCTCTCACCTTGGTGTTCCTTCTGGTGTTTCTCACACTTTTCTCCCTTCTCCTCTTTTTCTGCCTGGCATTTTTTGTCATTTCTTAAATACACTTTCCCAGAGGTGCCATCATCTTGGCCGAGTGGCTCAGCTGTGTCCTGAGGTGGGTCTGCTGGAGTCAGCTGGAACCAGCCATGTCCAGCATAGGGCAGCCCAGCTTCTTCTCAGAGGCCATACATGCAGCCCCCTCCCAGTGCAGGTACTAAATCCTTGCCATGTGTAGCCAATATACCTTTTTTTTTCTTCTTTTTTTTTTTTTTTTTTTCTTTTCATCTTTCTTACCCACCTTTTGTATATCTCCTGGCCAAGGTTCAGTAGATCGACTTCCATCCTAGGTTTTTTCCTGTGAGAGAGGTGCCCTCCTGGACATTAGAAACAGTGAGTTCAAAACTGCTCAAGCTGAGGAGGGCCTGGAATCCAACAATCTCTCAGCTCGCTGTTTTAGTCACTACAATGTTTGAAAATGGCTTTTGCTTCTGTTAGGCACAGGACTTGGAAAAGGCTCAGCACTGTCAATCAGAGGCATGTACTATGCATCCTTGGACCAGGCACCTCCTAAGGAAGTTCGGTCCCCTGGTCCTAAATGTTTTCTGTTTTATGATTGAAGGTATGGGACAGTCACCCTTCAAGATGGGCTTGGAAATTGTGAGGAAAGGGTGTGCAAGTCCAGGGTGCTCATGAAGGCAGAATAAGATTAAGTTACCGGAAGTGTTTATTAGGCCAGACATAGGGCCAGGGAATTGAACAACTCAGAGGCATTTGGCAGTTAGACAGTAATATAGATTTTGGATGCTTTTTTTGCCAGTTTTGACTACACTGTAGAGCTGTAGATGCTGAAATTAATCTTGGCTTAGGAAGATGGAGCATGTGGTTTCCTTCATCCGTTACCCCACTGTCGGTAGCACCAGACATCAAATATAAATACAGAAAAAAAGAAAAAG